CAACTGCTGGTGTCTCTGCAGACTGTCTGTAGGACAGTAGGGCCTTGGTCTCTACCCCTGGGGAGAGCAGGAGTTTTCAGGCAGCAGTACATTTTTCAGGAAATGCTCTGAGGTCAGAGGAATAAACCCAGACTAAATATTTTTTCTCTGCTGGATCACTGAGTCAGTGGTGTAGGTATGATTTTTGTCAGGCACACTGGTGACATACAAGCAGCAGCAAAACGCCACTAATGAGCTTGGTATAAGATGCTATATTGCTCTGCTCCCTCAAATAGCTAGATTAACTGTGTGTTTTCATATACCCTGGAACATGGTCAACAGCAAACTAGGGAGAGCACTGATTTTTAGTAAAACACTTCAGCAACTTACACAGGAATATTATGGAGCAAGTTCTAAAGTGCTTTTCTGCTGTTTCCCATCCAAGTGATTTTTCACAGTGCATTTGGTGAGGAGTTATTAACTGCAAACAGATTTAAGTTCTGAGGACTCCCTAGATCTAAACCGATGCTTGTCATTCAAATGCCCCAACATGAATCAAGTACAATTGTGAATGTTCACAGCCAGTGCAGTTCATTTGGTAACAAGCATGCATTTAGCATTACACAAAATGCAGCCCTCCACCCCTTGACAGTCCTTGCTTGTCCTGGTATTTTGAGAGAGAAGGGGGAGGACATTTATTCTTGATGGTGAACTTTAAAAGTATATTTTCTTTTTAAATGCCAACCTATTCCTTTTCCATGTGTGTTTCAAAAATGTCTCTGACACTTTGGCTCAGTACCTAGGTATTCCAGCTGTTATTCTAAGATGGTGGAAATTAAAGTTCTGTTGACTTCCCTGGAGCTTTGCCAGTTTTTCTCAGAGGAAGATTTGATTTCAGAATATTTTGTGGAGCCTAGATCTGACATATGCACTGCAAGCACTGTGGGTGCTGGGTAGTAACTGTACTGCTGCCAGTAGCTGGAGTGATTCGGGAAGGGAAGTTTCACGGTGTAGCAAGGGTTGCTGTTCTGACCCTTGATCTCCTATGCAAATTAAGTATTCAAACTGTCTATTGCAAAGGTGGAACTATGTTAGACTGGCCTTTTCTAATGCAGAATGATGTGCTAAAGGGTTGGGAATGTGGTCCAGATTCCAGATCCTTGATGACTTTGAGCCCAGGAGAGCAGAAGTTTGAACCTTGGCTTCCTGAATTTCCTGTTGGTGCCATAGTGTCAGGTCACCACAGCCTGAAAGCATCTCTTTTTCATGTCACTGACCTAAAAAAATACCTTAACTAAGTAAAATTGAAGGGCTGCTTTTTACACAGAGGGGGAGTCAGTGCTCCAAATCTACCCTGCTTTTTCCAACTCTATTGTCTTTCCTATTAAAAGTCACTGTGTTTCCTTCAGAATTTTTTTATCCTTTAATGCCTGTTGTAATACTACAACAAAAAGATATCACCAATTGTTCCAGCAAGCACAAAGTAAGAACTAATGTAGGTTTCATGTCACAACAACCTTGGCATATAAGTAATGAATCCATTTGTAAGGTATCTGCTGAACTCCATGGACAAGTAGTTCCCAATCCTGACTATATTTAGTTGTCTCTGTGCATAATCCTTCTGCAGACACCGAAGTTAATGATAAATCTCCTATGTATTTCAGTGTGTGTAGGTTGGGGCCCTTATATATTAAGGGTTTATTATTGCAAATTTGCTGAAAGCACCAAACCCTCACTACTCCTATGTGCCTCATTTTTAGTCCTGCAGAGACATCATAATACCATGTTTGTGATAACTGAGTCATTCCCATGACAACAAATGGAGTCAGAAATACAAGATTCTGACCTTCCTGTGTGATCAAACAAAACGAAGAAGCTGGGGCAAAAAAGAAAAGTTCATCAAACACAAATGCCTATAAACCCAGCAAGCAGGTGGGAGAGAAGCAGCAGATAAAGACAAAATATTTCTCCTTCTCTGAAGTTCTGCCCCAGGGTAAATGTCCCTCCACAGGTTTTTTTCATGCTAGGATCTGCTATGGTTAGCATAAGTATCTTCCCCTGCAGAAAGCTCCAAGGAGAGCAAACAGTAGCTTGTTAATAAAGCCACTTCACATTAATTCTTTCTGGAGGATGAGCTGTGAAAAGCAATACAGTTTTACAGGTCCTTCCAGTATATCTAAAAGCAAGGCACTTAAATAGCATTTCAATTTCATCCCATTTCTTAGAATTGCATTAGTAGTCTTTGCTGTAGAAATCCAGGCAGAGTCAGTGATGTGCTCTGAATCAAATGCTGTATTGGTAAAGGAATGGGGGTAGAAAAAATGTTAGTGGCTAACTGGCAGTGTGGTCATCGCAACAGCAACAGACCTGAGTGACCATAAGATTTCTGCTCCCTGGGCTGTGGCAGGAACGGACAAGGCACAAATGGATCAGTCCACATTTCCCACTAATTCATAGGCACAAAGAGATAATTGGGAAGAGAGGTATTGCAGCTGGTCTGGCAATTAAATAATAGTTTTAGGTTAAAGTAGCTTTCAAAACCAATGCTAAAAGATTGACAGCAGTAAAACAAAAGTTGTAGGTGCTGCTAGGAAGACTGGCAGTCCTCACAACTGTATCAGTGGGTGATGGACTTCTAATTCTCACTTTGTGCGAACATTTTTTGAGACTTCCAATCATAATGAACCATTGAACAGTCAGTCACAGGATCCCACGCTTTTAACAACATCAGCATTAAGACTTACTGTGCCTTAGTGGTATAACAGAGAGCATGGTTTGAATTGTACTAAGGCAGAGGTAACTCCAATCTGATCTTGCACTGACAGAACTACAACTGATAACACATACAAAAAAAAATGTGCTCATGGCTTCTGACGTATGGAAAGGGTCTCTTTCCATATAGATGGGGCACTATGATAAATGTATTTTCCATATGGCTGTATATTATGGATGCAGTGAAGAATTTAGAATGAGAAATGGTCAATGAAAACAGAGCTGTCGATGACAGTCCATTGGCTTACACTGACTGTACCAAGGAGTGGCTGTTTCTTGGCGTTACAGAGACAAGCCCAGACAGGTGGAACCAAGAGTTGTGGCTGCTGCCCTTATGCATAACAGATTTAGTGTTGACTGCAAACAAAGAATTCCTGCAGGATCTTTTAGCCCAGAGGCTAAGGAAATCCAAGGGAGATTAAAGAATGTCAGATCTGGACTCCAGGAGTAGAAAGTCCCATTAATACAGCTACTTATGCCTGATACTTCAAGAACAGGTCAAAGCAGTAACAGAGGATTCCTGCTAGACAGGTTGGTAAAGCTTTGATTTTCTGGGTGAATGATCGCTGTACCCAGGGAACTTGCCCAGTGGTGCTCAAAGTCAGTCTCCCTTACTTCCTGGCATGTACACTTCAGCCACTGACAGTTCCAGTGTTGGGGATCTGAGTTTTCATTGGCCTCAGCAAGCAAATTACAACCCAGATATCGTGGGCCAGAAATGGCAGAGCAAGCAGCTGTTGCTCTGCTGCCTCTACATCTGCCTGACACAATAATTAAATCTCATCAGCCATTTGGTATAATGGAAGCAAACCAACTACAACAGAAGGATTTTGCAGCACAACTGTCTCATGATGTGTAACTGCAGCTATATATTTGTCTTCATCATTAATTCTGTAAGCATTTATATAGCACTAGAAGGGACTGAGTAATTTAGAAAGCAGTGGAAGAGATTGTTAAAAATAGCAAAAGGCATAATTACTTTTTTCTATCATCAATCTCCTCCTTATCTTCTCTGCTGACGTTTCCCGTGGACTATGCACGATGATGCTGTAATGGGACAAAGGCATTGCCTGCTAAGCATCCCATAGGGGCCAGAAGCCCTAATTTTGCTGCAGCACTGACATTGCCTGTGTCTTGAACACAACAAATTCACTTTCTTTTGTGGACAATGTGGGTCCCACTTCAGTGGATGTTTTGTACTGATATTTGTGATGTAGGCTGGTACCTAATGCTGTAGCTGCGTTAAAGGCTGCATTTATGCTCAGAGTTTAATTCCTTGTTTGATGAAATGAACAGGTTATCTCTTCTTCAGGATTCCCTTACAGATAGTTGACTTGACCCCTTTTATTTTTTTTTTTTTTTGGGAAACTCATGTAGTGTAGCTTGTTGTCAGGAGTTACCCAGGAATCTTGCCAGTGAAAATCTCCCTTCTTAATTAAATTTTTTTGAATTCTGTAGCCCCAAATTTGTTATCTCCTGGTCATGCTAATCCAGATTAGATTCATGAGATTAATTGAGCTACTCTAAATTTGCACCAGCATAAAGAAAGTGTATTGGGACTTCTTTGTGTGTCCCTCCCATGAGTGCACAACAATAGATGTGACTTTATTGTCTTCTTCACTGGCAGTGTTGTGTTTCTCTCATTCTTTTACATCATATAAAATTTTAAGATGGGCCTAGTAAGGTATAAGAGGTACTGAGTCAGGCTGCACTACAAGGCCTTTTTTCTGACCTCCAGCCTTGTAGATTCCAAAGCCAGGATCCAGAGCATGTTGCAGCTGGGGAGAAGACTATGAGCTGCATGAGCTGCCAAAGCTCCTTCCTGCTGACAGAGAGCAGAAGGCTGGCTCCTCTCTTCCAGGCATCAGCATTCTCATTTTACTGACTGAAGAATAATTAAAGCTGACCTTCTGTACCATATGCTGGCTGGGAAGGAACCAGTCAGCAGCTTGGGCATGAGCATTTGTAACCACCACTTTGTAACTGGAAAATGGACTTGGAAGCAATTGTTTTCTACTAGAAGGTCAGCAGTGTTTTCCTTTTAGAAGACAATGGTTTGCCACAGTGAATTCTGGAAGATAGTGAAATATTTTCCTGAAAGACATAACTTCAGCATGCCAAGCACCCAGGATGGGTCCTAGGGCAAGGACAAGGGTTGTTCAGACCCTCTACTCAGCAGTTTGATGTAATTGAAATGGGTGTCCCCAGTACTTTATTTTTCTGAGTTCCCTTTGGTTTGTGTCTTTCAGAAGCGCTCTGGAGGCGTGTGCTCATACCTGCATCGAGTGTGCTGGGCGGCACTGCCATTGCAGCTCCTCCTCTTGCTCCTCCTGCTCCTGGCCTTCCTCCTGCCACTGGCAGAAGAGACCCACAGCTGCACACTGGCCAACAACTTCGCTCGGTCCTTCAAGCTGATGCTGAGATACGAGGGCCCACCCCCAACCTAACTTCTTGGCATGGCACGAGGTGACGGGCAGAAATACAGACTCTTTGTTTTTAACAATTGCAACTATTGTAGATTTTAGGGCTTCTAACAAGGCTGTCATATCAACTGGATAGGTCACATAAGTGCAGCATAAGATTAGTCCAATTTAATCAGGTATTTGAGCAAAATTAATATTTTTACAATATTTTATTATTATATTTATAACATGTATATAGAGACTGTCTATGTGTATGTATGTACATATATGTATAAATGCATATCTGTGGTCAAACTAACATACATCATCCACTCATCCGCTGTTTTAAGGATAATCCTGGGATGTTTCTGTTTCTGCCATCTTTCAGCAAGCAAAACTGAAGGATGGTTTTGTTGTGGGGTTTTATGGGCGATTTTTAAAATCAGATTCTTGTTGTTTACAACTGAAGTCAGAGCACGTGTGGAAACATGTGGGCACACACCACAGTGCAAACTGGAGAGCAGATACAGTAGGATCAGTTTTGAATACAGTGGTTGACATTCAGCCCAAGAAAGATTTGGACTATTCAATTTGAAATCTTGAGCTACTTTTTCAGTATCTGGGTACAGGGATTTCAGAAGCTAATGGAAATGTCGCTACTGACTTCAGTTGGAGTGGGGGTGGACCTCCTCTTGTTCTCATTTTTTACCAGATTTCTTCTCCAATTACTGTGTTCTCTAGCCCACCTGAATCAGGAGAGGTAGAATACAGTAGGAAGAAAGTTGAGAAAAAAGAATATATTTTTTTAGCATCTCTTTAGCAGGATAACTTTTTAAAATTAGGTCATCATTTTCTGAACAAATTTGTGAGCACTGAACAAAACCTTGTATCATCTGTCTTGCATATAAAAAGCAATGGGGTTTTCTCTGTTGTTTGTGGGGGTTTGTGGTTTGTTTTTTGGTTTTTTTTTACTTTATAAAGAGGCATTTAGTAACGGATCATAAAGCCTGAACAGTGGGATGCAGCCTGCCTCAGTTTCAGCAAAGCAAAAGTCACAGGTACTTTAATAATGCCACCCTGGAAACACAATTCTTTCCTAGGATGCTTTTATATTAATGGTTTATTGAAATGATGCAAACTGATTGTATCAAAGAAAGTCAAGTATAAGTTTCCATTTAGTCTAAACTCTAAAATTATGACAACTTGTCATTTATTTACCTAACCTTATGCCTGATTTATCAAATTTTGAATGTACATTTTAACATTGCCTTTTAATGTAAAAGCAATTCTCACCTTATTGTGATGAAGCCATTCTTAGTGGTGTTTTAATTAGTTGGTTTCTGAAAGAAAAAATAATTTCTACAAATGTGTGCCATTTTTGAGAGCTAACCCATATTGTCTCATGGTTTTAGCCACAGTAGTAATCATGAAAAAAAAAATTTAACAGCCTCCTGGCTGTGTTGCAGGAAGAACTTGTCTTCTGAGTATCAGTATGGGGTATTCTGTGTTGTTTTCGAAGCAAGTTCCAAAATAATATAAAATCTGTCGTGCAGCTAAATTATGTAGTAGCTGAGAGACTGAAGGTGGCAGTCACTTATTTAACAAAACCATTAAAGTTTTGCTAAAGAAGCAAACTTGGGTAAAATAGGGAGGTGGAGCAGCAAGGAGCTCATTATAGGCACAGAATGAGGGAGAACAGGCAGTGTGAAAGAGGAGCAGCTAAACATAGAGAAGAGAGGTGTGCAACAATTTATAAAGCCTAAGAAAAGGAGTCACAATTAACAAGAGGACAAAAATAAAGGCTCTGTGGAGGAAAAATCTCAGAATCTTTTTTTGGTTCCCTCTCCCTGCTACAGTATTGGTACTGCTGCATATTAAACAGCTTTTCTTCAGTAAGATTTAAATGTGGCAAGTAACAGGGACACTACCAGTGTTCTGAGGAGACCCTCTCACTGTCTTCCTAATAATGCTTCTGACTACACTGGGTTTACCAATGTTGGATTAAAATGCCAAAATTCTGCTAAAAATGTAAAGGAGAGTCTAAGTTGAAGGAGATGGTGAAGGCAGTCAGAGCCCAAGGATGGCATGAGGAGGAGCTGAGCTGATGTGGATTGAAACTTGACTGTCTGGGGGTATCAGAAGAGCTCTCAGAGCAGGCAGAGGGGACTGGAAGCAGAAATATGAGGAGACTGGATAACTGCTGAGCAATAAGACATGCACATCAGGAAGGAAAGGAAAGCCTATGATTTCTTTCATGACAGAGCCAGATCTTTCTTTGCAACTGTTCTTTCTGGTGGCAGAGGACATACCTCTTCCTCTGCTCTGATTATCTGTGCAAGTGCCATGCACATTCCAACACCCTTCCTCTAAAAATTGCTGTCAGCCCTAAGGGAAGAAACCCTTGAGGCTGCCCAGCAAGGAGCTAATAATGACACACATCTCATTTCAAGTTAAATCTTCCAGCAGAAAAGAAGTGTGGGGGCAGAGGGGCAGTAACAAAACCAGCTCTGTGTGATTGTGGATACGTGTAGGTGTGCACACACTTTTTTGTGACGTGGCTACATTGCACTTCTCTGGGTCTTGCTGAGCTGTTCCAGGTGATGAAAGTAAAATACCAGTGAGAAAGTAAAAATAATGAGGAGTAATAAAGCTGCAAGTGGAAATCAGTAGGGAGATAGAAAAGTTTTTTCTATGAAAGCACAAAATCTCACATCAGGTTTCTTTCTGCCCAGCCTGTCTGATCTGGGTGATTTGTATGGGTTCACGGATGCATTTGACACCACAGGAGTGTGCAACTGGGGGGAAAAATTTCTACACAGAGGATTGTAAGAGAACAACTGCATCACCACCTTGATGTTTCAGTTTGTGGCAGGTTTTAAAAAAAAAACCAACAAAAAACAAAACTAAATTAGAAACACACTTTTGCTGCTGGGATTGCAATCAATTTATTCTGTAGGTCCCTTGTCTGTAATCTTGGAAATTTTTGCTTTAAATCTCAGTCGATCCATTCTCATTAACTTAAGTAATCTAAATATCTCACATAAGTGATGAATATTTCTACTTTTTTGCCATGAAAACTATTCAAAGAAGAGGACTTTAATGTTCGTGTCACTAAAAACAATTTAATTCTTCCATAATGTCATTGATGTTACCTGTCCAAGGCAGGTATGAGATTTTTCTAAGAAAGAAAGAAGTAAAAAAAAAAAAAAAATCACAAAAGTATGCTTGGAATATAAATACAAAATTTACTTTCTTTTTTATTCTCTTGTGATTTTTTTTTCTGAAGTCAGTGATACTGATTCCTGGAAGTGTATGTAAATATTAATCAAGTCAGTAATTGGAATAATGAAAACAAACTACCCAGTCCAGCTTCCAGGAAACTGTACAAATCTCCGATTCCTCAAAACACAAACTAAATCATACTGTTTCCAAATCAGTCCTGAAAATCTTGAGCACAGTTCTTTATCTTTGCTCACAGATGATTTGGTGGTTATACTCTCACTTTTGAGCCTATAAAATCCCCAGCTCATACATCTCTGACATCCAGTCATAACTGAGGTGTGTTATAGCTCAGGTTCAGACTGGGGCCACTGCCTTAAGACATCCCTTGCCAAAACCTGGGATGCACAAAATAGATAAGAGTCCAAAACTGAGGACTTGCACTACTTTACCCCAATCCAGATCCAACCACTGTTAAAGGATACTAAAACACTCTAAAATATATCAAATATATTTGAGGTTGTAAATTGTTTGTGCACCTGGTTCAGGCCATGTAGCCTGTACTCCATGCAGATACCCTGTCTGTTCACAGAGCAGAGCCCTTACAGGTCTCTCCCAGTTCTTTTGCCTGCACTGTTGGACCCAGTGTTTGATTGACCATATTAATGACCCTTCAGTGTTGAAGGCAAAACCCTGCACTCCATTGCCCATGCGTTACAGTAAGAATTCTGCACAGCCCCAAAGGCACACTTCAAACACAACCTTTGGCAAGAAAGCAAGCCTAATTTGTACATTGTAATTGATTTTGAAGCCAGATGCTTTCAACAGAATTTTCCATGACAGCAGTACATTGAGGTGGAAAATTGCTGTTGTGCTACGTGTCTATTAACAGCCCTTTTTCTAATTCCAGCTAGCAATTTAAGTGGTATTAAATATCATTTATATATACCCTCTCCAGAAATCCCTGTATGAAAAATATGTTCAGTTCTGAGCATACACATTATAAATGTTGTATTCCTCTGCTAGCACTGAATCTCCAGAGCAGTCATGTTTTCTACCAAGTGCTACCTTATTTGTAGTGACTGAGATACTAACAAAACTCAAACATTTGAGGCTGTAAATAAAGCTACTAGCCTAACTAGTAAAACCACCTAATGATCACTGAATAGTTTTAAGAGCTTTCAGAATGGCTTTACACTTCTCCTTAATCCCTTTTTTTGGAATAGTTGAAGACCTCAGAGAGAAGAAATGTGTCCAAAAAATGGCCATCACTAGATAGACAGATGGTAATCTCTGCACGTCAGAAGAAATAGCATGGTCTCTATAGCTGCTCTAGGACCTCAGGAGTTTGCTCCATCTGATCTCCTCTTCAATATTAAATAGGGAATGTTTTACTTTGATGTGTACATACACATCTCATTAGCACTAAAGAGATTTGAAGAGTCAGTTCATGTACAAGAATTCTTTTAAATTGTGTCGACAAGATTTCCTCTTTTGTTCAAAAAAAATTTAAAACTGCTGTGTGACAGAGATTCCCAGAGCAAACAAAGCCTTTTGGAATAACTGAACATTACAGACTGAAATTAAATTGTTCACCATAGGAAACTGAAGAAATAGTTTTACCTTTCAAGAAATGCTGGTATAAACCCCCCAATAAACATATCTTTGCCAGGCATCACATCTGTCTTTCAAGTCATAGATTGTGTACCCAGCTGGCTGTGAGAACTGCTTTTGGAGACTTTACTATCCATTGGACAGTATCACTTGCTAGTGTGCAGCTGAAAACTCATGTGCCCAACCAACTATATCAGCTTCTTCTAGAGTCACTGGGGGCTGTCGAGGATATTCTTAGCAGTTCTCAGATCACTGACCTGCTCTGAGCCATTACAAGTTTATTGCATTAATCGATCTGTCAGTGTTTGGCAACTCTGAGAAACCAGTTTATTAAAACACCAAAGATAATATTTCTGTTACAGACAACATGATTCAATCAAAAACCACTCTTGTTGCTTTTGCCATATTTAAACAAAGATATCTGTTGGTTATACTGGAATATAAACAGTTTAGTTGTAGGTATTGGGTAACTGTGTTGGACAAGGCATTCTGACTTGTACATGTCTGTTTAAGAATTGTGGGTTCATGTTGCACTTGTTCCATGGTAAAACAACACAAACCAAAGATTCTTGAATGTAGCATTTAAAAAAACCAAAACCAAACAGCAAAGCAGGATAGAATAATCTGTCATCATCAATCAGTTGATTTTTTTATTATCTCTTTGTTATTATCTCTTGTCTATCCAATTTAAAATATGACTATGTGTCTACAAGAGAGTCATCAGTAGATCTGGGAAAAAAGGAGTATATATCAGGAATATACCAATTCAAACAGTAGCCTAACTGGCACCTCTGTTCTCTAACCTGCTTCAGCAACTGCCAAATTTTACCTCATTGTACTGTGAGCCAAACACCCTCCTCTTACTAAAGCATGGGTATGATAAAACTGCCCAGGTTAAGGTACAACATCCCAGTGGAAGTAGCAGGAGACATTAGGTGTTCAAAAGGCTGCCTGATATCTTGATGCAAGAGAGGAACTTGTACAGCTGGCATAATGAGAGCAGTCCAGGACTAATGGCACAGGAACAAGGGCTTGCCGTCCTGCCTTGCCAGACAAAATTTTGACAGTGGCCATCGGTTTCATGTCCTTGACTGTGGAAGGAGGGTCCCCTCAAGGTGATTCACTCTAGCTGAGATTTGAGCCCTGGAAGTAGCTTTTTCTTTTCGTTAAATACAGAATAAACTGCTAAATTAAACCCCTCAGTGACAGATTAATGGTAGGTGGTGGGCCCTGATGCTCCAGGAAAAGATACAGGAAATGCTATTGTAGATAGAAAACGAGTCATGATGATCTCTGTTCAATCCTTAGGAGACAGAAGTTCATTGTAGAGCTGAAGTGGGAGTTTTTCTGTTCCTTCGCAAGTAAATGTCAGGTGTTGTCTTTAGTCTTCTGGATTTTGGGGGTGAGTCTGCTCAGTGCCTTGCTGAATGCTAGTGGCTTTCTGGCTTCAGAGCTGTTTATAACAGTAAGCTCCACATTCTTCCTATGAGTTGTGTGGAAAAGGTAATCCCTGAACTGGTTTTGAATCAGAAACTTCTTGTTTGAGGGGTGGGCATGGTTTGATTTTCCTTCTTTGGCCCCTTTGTGTTGAATCCAAGGAAGCAGAAAGACCAGCACTACCCTTTCCAGACCATACATTGTCTTTCCTTCTTTTATGAGAGCAGAGGAGGTTTGGCTTTGTCTCCTTTCCAAAGTAAATGTTACCAGTCTTTTATGCTTTTTTTCCTGTTACAGTTCTTCCAGTCCCTAGATCGTTCCTCTTATGATCCTAGATCATTTCTCTGAAGTGTTTCCAGTGGCATTTCTTCCTCAATACCTAGAGCAAAAAATCTGATCCGGTTTCAATAAATTTAAATTCAGTAAAATTTTCCTCCACTGCAGTTCATCCTGCAGATGCTCTGCCTGTTTCTACTGCCCCCTATGTCAAAACAACCTTCATCACTATCTGAGGGGACTCTGGTCCTGGCCAGCCATCTCTTCCAAGTCTCCTGGCTGTGTTCTGCCTTCTGTTTTGGCTCAGGAACTGCCCTTAATATTCACATCTGCAGACAGGAGTATGAGGGTGTTGCTTAACAAACAATTATTAATAATGAAAGCCTTGCTATTAGCATTGTTCATATCCTGCCCAGACCCTTTTCTCCTCTCTAAGCAGGTTTTGATGTATAATCCAATTACTGAGTGCAGAAAATTGCCCCTTAATCAGTGCAGACGGGCGGTGTTTCAGTTTCAGCTCTATTATCCTCACATTGTCACTGCCAGTGTAAGTGCTCACATGTGCTGCTGGGCTGGGGCTGAGTGCTCCAGGGTCTGTGCCCTTGAGCTGCCAGGAGTGTTTGAATACATACACCCTAAATAAGCCAGGACCCTTTTCTTGAGCAGGGAAAAAAAAAAAAAAAAAGAAGAAGAAAACTAAAATGGGCGCTTTTAACAAACTGATTTCACAACTCATTTATCAAGCTCTATAGCAAACCATTTATTTTAGCTCCTTTTTGCTCCATCAAAAGCTGTGTGTTAAAAGGCAGAGGTGGATTTTGAGGGGCTGGGAACTGATGGCTGCAGTGCCACCAGCCCTCACCAGCACCTTACCGAGAGGCCTCCCGCTAGAATTCCGGGGTGGGAGCTGTAATTTCTCCTGAGGTGAATCTCACCTTCAAAATCAAATTATTTCTTTTGTCAAGTCTAATAAGCATTGAACACCACAGACTTTGTTTCACTACAGATATGAAAGAATGCCTCTGTAGAGTACTTTCCATTGCTATGAAATACATATGTATGTATGTGTATATATGTGTGTATATATATATGTAATGGGGAGTGTAATTATTGTTCTACTTAAAGAAAAGTGACATTCCACTTCAGTGTAACTTGTGCAGCTTTTAAGAGAAACTGTGTCTTAAAGGGAAGCTGAAAGGGTTTAGAGGTATATGTTTTAATGAGCTTTAATAAGCTCTGAGTTTGAGTTTCAGTCTCTAGGGCAAAAAGCAGCCAAGATGATTTTCCCATCACCTTCCCAGATCACACCCTGTAAGAATTTAACCTGGGAGGCACTGCTTGAGCACTGGCTGTTCCTGAAGGTATTTGAATGTTGCATGTGCTAACTGTGTGTCTGTCCTCAAATGTAAGCCTCCGTTTTGTAGATGGGCTTGACTGGGAGGTGAAGGACACACCCTTGTTTTGCTCCAAGACCCTGATGGTAATTTTTGCCTCAGCAGATATTTTCTCTTTGATCAGTGTAACTCCTTCTGGTTTTTTAACTTCTAATTTGTGTTAAGTAAGTTTATCAGGTGATTCCAGGAAGGCACACTCCATCTGCCCAGCATCAGAGCTTCCCTTCCAGCAACATACCTTCTTCTCATTTATTTACTTGACTGTACTGGACCACTGTGAAGCAATTACACAAGCAATAACGCAGGTGTTGCATTTTTCTGTCATTGCCTTTTGTAAGATGCTCTCCGTTGACGTTGAAAAGTGGTGGGAGACCCAGAAGCTGCATTGTTGTTTACTTGCAATATAACCAATGCACAGTGTTCCTACAGAGGGCCTGTCCTCACTCCTTAGAGCAGCTGGCTGTCTCAGGCCCAATTTAATTCACAAGGCTGGATTATAAACAGTTTTGGATCTCTTCACCAACACTCAATCAATCTTGCTTCCATCAGTTTTTGTGCTTTTGTTTAGTTTCGAGCTAGAAGAAAGTTTAAAGAAATGTGCTAAGACTCCCATGTAGGGTGAGTAAATATCGCATGTGTTTCACAAAAATTACAACAAAATTAAGGGATTTGTTCTCACATTGAACAGAACTAATAAGAAGTTCTAACTGAAGTATTAAGAAGTTATTAAGAACAGCCTGGAGAGAAGTTTCTGCAATCAAATTGTTCTCTGCTTTTAATTTAAAAATCAGCAAATACAAATGAGGTATGTTTTGCCACCTTCTTTTAGAAGTGACCTGAAATTAAAATTTGAATCCTCCCTAACAGGAGGTTTATTGCTGTGGATCTAAATTGCACCAGTATGTCCCACGTTAGATCACCCGCCTCTGGGCAGAGGGAAAACCAAAGGCTGTTCACAAGAGAAACTCATGTTATGAATGGTTTTAAAATTCCTTGGAGCTCCTATCCACTTCCAAATGTCAGTGATGAGAAGGATCAGAAACCTTCCTTTGAACCCTGTCATTTTGCATGTTGAAATCCTGGCTTGAATTCAGGTCTCCACCTCAGCTTCTTGTAAATGTTAATATTCAAGTAGAACAAAAACCTTAGAGGCAATTACAGCATGAACATCTCTTCTTGTTTATGTATAGTAGCTGATAGCAGAGTCTGCAATAATAATCTGTGTTTATACATGTGCTGTTTAATGTAACAGTTGGGTACAAAATACCTTTTAACTGTCACAAGAAAATAACTGGATTGATGTCACTTTTTGCTTGTATGAATATAATTATTTGCCTTGCAGGGACCAGCTCCAGTTTTGTCATGTTATTTATGATTTTTAAATACAATTGTGATAAATTAGGCTCGTTTCTAAGATAAACAATACTGGAGCCAAGCAGCTGCCTCTGTACATGTGCATGTTATCACAGCTGATATCAAGTCCAAGTCAGACTCCTTGTCTTGCTTGGACCTTTCTTTAACCTTTCTGGCTTATTCAGGGAAATGTGGACCAGTCTATTTTCTTATTAAAAATATGGCTTTGTGAAAAGCTGAACTTATTTTTTAAATCCTTTCTTTTCTGATTCAGAAAGACTGTAACAATCATATTTTTCTAAACTGCCTATTGTTTGTGTTGGGAAATGATATACAGATATATATTTTACTCTACAGATTTCCATGTACTTTCAGAACTCTTTGTTTTCATATATATCTTCCTATTTGCTAGAATTAGCTCAAAAAGCTATAAGCTTCTGTATACTGACTCTATGAAGTTCTATAAAAATGCAGTTGCATAAAAAGACTGACTTTATTTTTTATGTAAATTGTCAGAGCTAAGTCATCCTTAGTGTTATGCCACATGAGATGTATGGAAAGAAATCAGGTCATTGTTTTGAAGGCTGGACAGCGTTATGTGACACTTCCTAAAAAGTCTTGACTGAAAGTCAGGAGAATTTACATTAAAAATTGTACCATTTTGGGTCCTGATTCTATAGTTTTTTCACACTGTTTGGAACCTTATTTCAAAATTAGAGCTGTGGAATTTCATGGGAAACATCAAAAATAAGAGCCTATGATGTGTGAATTGCTGTGATAGAATAAGGACCTTTTCCAGTGAAGAACAGGGCCTTTTAACTAGTTAAGAGGCTATGTTTCCAGTGTTTCAGGACAACTTTTTGTGTTTTTTTCTGAGCTGTGGACTCCTCCTGTTTATTCTGGATTTACTCCATAGCTGAAATGCCAGATTAAATTGATTGAAGCCCCATGTGCAGATGAACATAATAGAAAGCTGTGGTGAAATATTGCAGAAAATGGCCTGATTTCCTTCTTCAGAGCCATAGTTAAAATAACTCACAGCCTTGGCTTCTTTGCACCTGTGAAGCAGGGGCCCTTGCTTTGTACCTCAACTGTGGTGTAACATGGAACGATTTCTGCTCTCTGCCTGGAAAATACTGTCTATTCCTCATCCTTGTCAAAGCATAATATTTTCTCAATTAAAAAAGTCTGATTCTTCAAGACTCATCCAGGAGTTAAGGGGCAGCTGGAACCTTCTGTGATCTGACCACACTATTGCAAAAGTTTATCCCTCGGTGACAAATAAAATATGATGTAACTTTGCTGTTTGCAAGGAGGATAAAGAGACTGGAAATTCATCACCCCAAGCCCTTGTGACTCTTCTGTGATGCTCCACTGTTACCAATGAACTATGTTGAATCAGATTATAAAATCAGAGTATTTTATTGCATGTGTCCTTTTTTGAAATAAAAATATAGTTGTATTTGATGTTGCAATTATAATGAAGTAAATAAACACGTGCATTTCTTTTTAAGGACTTTGAAATTATTCTGGGGGGTGGTTGCACATTTTTGCTGGGCTTATTTCTTACCATCAGAGTATTTGGACTGACCTAGAAACAGCTAGAGCAAGTGAAGCAAGGATAAAATTTTCTGCTGCCTGTGTCTGTGCTCAGGTGAAACTGGAAGATGATTGTACTCAATGTACCTACTCCACTCTAGTCCTTTGAGATTTAATAGAAAATGTCAGCTTTTCCTTCAGTTGTTTAAATAGAATTCTGCTGGACTCAAAGAAAATGTGAATTTTGCTAAATCATATTATGATTCAGTAGGATTTCTTGTGGCATTGGTCTGTGACACTCTCTGTGGAGTTCCCCTCAATCCCAAACCTGCTAATTTCAAACCTGCTAAGACAAAGAAGAGGTTTTTTGAGACCCTCGGGTTTGAAGTTAATACCAACCACATATAGCAAGCAAGCAGTGTATCAGCATAACCACAGCTGATTTCTCTGAAGAGTAATCACTGCAGCCATCTATGTATGGATGCACAACTCTCATTAGCATCCAGGTAATTGCTGGTTTCTTTCCTTTATGAAACAGAGACTGCCGGGATCCCTGACATCAAAGGGTTCCACAGGCAGTTATTTCTGGACAAGTATAAAACCACTACAATTTTTTGGTGAACCTGTGGGCTGGGTTCCCTGTTGTTTTTATGAACACACTGAGCTTTATCCAGGTCTTTGACTTCTCTCCAGTATTTGGACCATGTGATCTTGTGCTTTCCTATGACCTGTGTCCTGCTAAGCCCCCAAAAGTACAAATGCAGACACTTCAGCTGGTCATGGCTGTGTCAAGGTCAGAGCAGCAGCCAAATCCCTCCCGGAAGAGAATGGGGTAAAACAAGCCCAGGGCTGTAGGAACAGCAAACTGTCATGGTGGGACAGTTGCATTCCCATTAGGGCTACGACTGATGCACAGAAGAAATTTCTGTTCTTACAGGTTTTTATTTTTCCTTTGCAATGCCTTTTTTCACCTTGCAGTTTATTTTTTGTGGAGCCAGAAAGTAGGCTGCTTTGTGTACATCAGGGTTCTTCTGGAACCAGCAAAAAAACTTGGGCTTCATCTTGTCCTGGACACTGTACAGAGACCAGGGAAGACCTTCATCCAGCAGGGAGAAAAAGTGCCTACAAACAAATAAAACAGCTCATACTTATATGGGGAATGAATATTTGTTGACCAGAATCAGCGTGCAAACAACTCTACAGCTGATTGGTGGGAGCTGGGACAGTCAACAAGAATTATTATGAACACTTTTAGAGGACAATGAGTTACTCTAGGCAGTTATAAATCTCTTAAGTCATATATTACTGGAGAAACACCTGTTTCAGATAGCAAGCTTGCTGCTCCAGGATGGAAGTTTAGGTTGTAGCAGCAAAAGGTGGCAAGTTCAATAAATAAGAATAATAGAGTAAGACCTTCAAGTGGAGTAAATCAGTGCAGCTTCATTGAAGCTGTTGGAACTAAGTCAATTTACTGCAGTAAGAATCTGGCTAGTAGTCAACAGGGATTTTTCAGAATGTTTAAAACCTCTCCATTTAGAGAGTTCTCCTCTGCCTTAGGCCTGTGCCCTAAATCGTATCCGCATGAAAGTCCTTGCTGGTGTAATGAGGTCATTTCGGATGTGAGTGTTCATTATATGCTTAGGTAAATTAAGGGGAAAAAATACATCATTAGCAAAGTCTTAAATAAAGGATGGAGCAAGGTTAGCGAGTGAGAACTATTTAAATAAAATCAATCTCAGCCCTGGAGAGTTAATGGGGAGTGGCTTTCTGTGGAAAAAGGCTGATGCTGTGTTGATGCTGCACAAAGAAGCTGAGCATTACAGCCATGAGGAATTAAAAGCAGGGACTGAGGTTTTTTCTAGGTTAATATTTCAAGCTTTCTAAATTTCATTCTGTGACTTACCATGAATGCAGCCTAGGTTTCCAACTTCAGAAAAATGCTCTGATAAACACATATTGCTGGAGCAAATGAAACTGAAGGCTCATCCGGTTTTACCGTAGCACTCGTAGTATTAAGAAGGATTGTAATATAATCCTCTTCAATGAATAACCCTAACAGATGTTATCAGAGTTGCTCTGTATGAGCTGTGGACCTCTTGCTAGAACTCCCTCTGTGGAAGTCCAGTTCATAAATTGTCCTAATGGGCTGCCTGCCTCGTCCTGCTGCTGCCTCGGCATGAAAAGGAGGTGGTTACCAGCGGCCTTGAAAGCCGGCATTATTCCCATCTGTTTTTCATTACAATACTGCTAAATATTTCATGCTTTTTGTTTTACAAACAAGTAAGAGCAGAACTAATCTTTTTGTTTAATGTTCCTTGATCGACGTTTCAAGGAGGAAAAAAAAAGTTTGGGGTTTGTTTTTTTTTTTTCTTTCCTTCAGATCTCTGCAAAAGCTTTTAATGGAAGATAGAGCAGATTTCCGTCGACTTTTCTGGTGGGCTTTTTATGGCACCATTGATACAGGAAAAGATACGGGAGAAATCCAGATGATGAATGTGCTGTTCAATCAGCTGGGATTTCTTTGCTTGCGAGGAGATAACTCGATGAAGTGCAAACAGAGACAGGGAGCAGACGTTGACTGCTTGTCAGCTATATAGAGAGCTATCTCTGGCTGGGGCTGCTGGAAAACACAGCAGCTATTAGTCCCCCTTTGCCCTTTCACAGCGCCCTGTCGGAGAGTCCCCAAGCACTGCAGCCAGAGCCATCCATTAAACCAGGGGGCAACTAGTCTGTTTAATTACCTCTCCTTTACAGGGAGGGGGACAACAGCTCTGGGAGGATTCAGCTGACATTTTAACCTCCTGGTTCCCTAAACTCCCACTGAGGTGGATGAGTGAAGGCATTCCTGCGGGCACTCAGCATCTCTGGCAGCAGGTGCTGCCCCTGCCCCAGAGGGATGTAGGTGACCCAGCTCCATCCACAGGGCAGAGGTGAGGAGGAGGTCAGGAGCCTCCCTGGGACGTGCAGCCTCCTCTCAGGTGAGCTGTGAACATGCTGGACGAAGGTTTTGAGCAGTTCCTTTGCAATCCAAAGCACACCCTGACACAGAGTATCTTGGGTGATACTACTCCACTTGAATCGCGGTGTTGGCTGGTTTATCTGCTGTTTGGGCAAATACCTTCATTATGGCACTCAGTGGGCTACTTTAGCTGTGAAGCCTAATTGCAACATCAGACAAAATGTGTGGAGTGTCACTCAGAAAGGGCTGAACACTCACAGAATCATAGAATGGTTTGGGTTGCAAGGGACTTTTAAAGATCACCTAGTTCCAATCCACTCTGCCATGGGCAGGGGCACCTTCCACTAGACTAGGTTGCTCAAAGCCCCATCCAACCTGTCTTTGAACACTTCCAGGAATGGGACATCCACAACTTCTCTGGGCAACTTGTTCCAGTGCCTCACCACCCTCATAGTAAAGAATCTCTTCCTAATATCTAATCTACTCTCATTTTATTTAAAACTATTACCCCTTATCCTATCACTATCTACCCATGTAAAAAGTCCCTCTCTCTCTTTTTTGTAAGACCCCTTTAAGTACTGGAAGGTGCCCTAAGGTCTCCCCAGAGCTTTCCCTTCTCCAGTCTGAACAACCCCAACACTCTCAGCCTGTCCTCACAGGAGATATGCTCCAGTCATCTTGATCAACTTTGTGTCCCACCTCTGGACTCACTCCAGCAGGTCCATGTCCTTCTTATGTTGAGGCCCCAGAGCTGCACACAGCACTCCAGCTGTGGTCTCATGAGAGCAGAGTAAATATTAAAACAATAGAAATGTTCCCTCTTTCAGGCTGTTGACGCTTGACCCTGCAATGGAGTGATGGTGTGTGAGTGCAGATAGTTAAATCACCGTGCTACTTTTGACCACATAGTAATACTTTTTATATCATTGCACAAACAGCAATGAGTTTGTCTGATCCACTCTTGAGCTGAATTCTCTGCATTTATTGCAGGATGAATTTTTTCCTGATGGCTGATGGGTCAACCATCCCATTGCTTTCTCCCATAATCGCTGGCCCGAATTCAGGGGCAAAAGTGAGTCTTGGGGCTTGGCCCTAATGCTTGCCTGCAAATAGGCTTTGTAACTTATGCTGAGCAAGACACCCAAGTAGTAAAATCATATACCACTTTCTATATTATGTTTCTTATTTTTCTAGCATTTGCCTCCCAAGGATCTCAAGGCCCACTGCAAGGTTTGACTAATTCTCAGCAGTCATTAAGTTCTTGTGCATTAAGTTCTTTTTGCTAATTACAGCTGAAACACTACTGCCAGAGCTTTACATTGCTGTTCTTGAGCATCTCCCTGCAACGGCACACAACAGTTTCACTCAGGACTGTAAAAATAAATTGTAATATCTAACGGCCATAGTTCCTTGCATTCAGTCATTTTCATTGAGGATTTTGACATTCCGCTAAAAAACTTCAAATCCAGGAATGGTAAATGCCGAGTCATAAAAGCTTAGGAAATGGGTCAAATCAGAGTGCAAGGCAGCATTACAGTGTCTGATCTGCTGTCTCTGATAATACCCTCACAAGACAAGGGTCCCTCTTTACCCACCCCCATTCCTAAACAAATGAATTGCAGCATGTATGAAATCTCCAGAGGCCATCTGTGACTGTAATTCATTTACCCACTGTATTATGGAACAGATTTTCCAGTGAGTTCAAAACTCGGGAAAGGGGGGAAGGGAATAGCATGATGAGAAGGATCTGTGATCCATATCTAGAAGTAAAAATATTATTCAATTGTCATATTTGATGGATAAAGTGTCTGACACACCAGGCAAAGCCATAGCAACTAGATAAATATGCTTAAAACATTTAATTTTGATACATTAAGAATGAGTTGGAGCAGGGGCTTATCGACACTGAAATTAAGCAGACATTTCTAAGTTCCTAAAAGCCTCTGATTTTGTTTAGTTTGGAAGAAAGTGTGCTGTAGATAACTTGGAAGTGTAAGGGGAAGTTGGACATGGTG